CAGGCTGTTCTTTCAACTAACTTTGAAGGTCCATTATCAAAGGAGAAACTCGATTCCGTCAACTGTACAAAAGTTTTTTGAAGGAATACTTTGTCTACGTCATTGCTGGTGGACACTGCATAAACAAAACAGCCACTCAGAGAAAGCAATAGCGGACCTCAGTCTGCTGTGCATCTCCACCTAAAAGCCTCGGGTCACTCCTTTGAGAACAGTGAGGTACAGATCTGAGCCAGAGAAAAGAAATGGTTTGAGAGCGGAGCTGAAGAGGCTATTTTTGTTCGGAAAGACAATCCATCTTTGAACAGAAATGGAGGCCTAAGACATCATCTATCTCCTATTTATAACTGCATCCTCAGATTCAGAAAACTTTATCGATCCCAGAGGGCAATTCATTTGCAGCAGAGCACTTCTCACATACAGATAAACACACACAGTTTGTCAGTCTGTTACAGTCCACGGACCTCCTCCAAAACAGACCTGGAGTTTTTAAGACAAAGATGTTCATTTTGTCTTCTTACGTATTTTATATATTCTTTTTAAAGGCAATACAGTAAACACAGTAGACAGACTTCTGACAGTCAACATGTCAACAAGGTAAATACACTTTACTGTATTATCTTTAAAAAGAACCCAAGAAGTCATAGCCAGCTGTGTTTTGTTTCATTCACACATGTTTGAGTAGCCATTTGTTATGAGTCTGTCTAAGGCTACGTTCAGACTGCAGGGCTTAACGCTCAATTCCAATTTTTTTATGAAATCCGATGTTTTTGCGAGGTCGTTCACATTTCCAATTAAATGCGACTTGTATGTGACTCCAGTGTGAACATTAAACGTGTCCCACATGTGCACTGGAGACACGATGACGTCAACCGCAGTGAGCGTGCTCTGTGTTTACGGAAGTTGTCCAAACATGGACGCGAGCATTGAGCACCTGGAGATTTTAAAGTTCCTCTCGTACCGGAGCCAGAACATGAACAACTTACTTGTTTTAAGGAGGAGATTGAGAAGGAGAAGGACGAGGTTTTTGGCCGTGGTGTTTTGTGGGACAGCGGCAGCGACGTCCTGTTGAAAGGAACGTGTGGATGTGGAGACGGAGCCAAGAGTGGTGAGTGGTGATGTGCTTCACTTCAGTGACATGGAGTTCATTAACAATTTTCACCTACTTCAGCGCAGAATAGTGACGTTTGTGGCTTGTTGATAACGTGTAGGTGGATGAATGCACTTTGGCCGTTCAGACTGAAGTCACATGTCAAAAGATCAGATATGTATCAGTTTCAGGAGCACATATCCAAGTGGCCTGGGTCGCATTTGAAAAAATCGGATCTGTGTCGTTTAGACTGTCATTAAAAGATCAGATACAGGTCACATAGGGGCCAAAAAATCAGATTTGGGTCACTTCAGGCTGCAGTCTGAATGCAGCCTTAATCTCCAAAGCTCAAAATGCTCTGTTCCACCTTGAGATGTTATGAAGAGGTCGTTTTCAAGTTAATATCTATCTTCACTCTGTTTTTAAACTCCATGCACCTTCACTAGAATCTTTTGGATAATTTCAGCTCTGGAATTTTCAGTCTCCACTCAACAAAAAGTAAAAAGTTGTTGTTTTTTTTCAAGTTAATAGCTACCTTTTACCTTAGCTAGAGATGTGCAATTTCAGGGCTGAAATGATCCAAACATGACATCACAAGATGGAACAGACTGCTCGAACTGGATGGTTTATGTGTTAAACATGTGTGAATGAGACAAAACACAACTCCGGGTATGTTTTTGATGTGGAAACAACATTGATAACACAAATCAGAAAATATAGGTCAGTTAAAATAAGCAGACTTTTATAATTGTTACTTGGTTTGGTGGGATATGTATTTATTGTAGTTTTACATCAGTTAAGTGGCAGTTTCTGAAAAAAAGCTGAAAAGAAAAGTGCAAAATTTATGAAGAAGCAGTGAGTTCTAAAATAGACTTCCTCTACTTATGTCATCAACAAAAATTCCATACAAAATACAGAGACAATTTGCGCACAAGGAAGGCTTTTTACTGCCATTTAAAGCAGACTTATTACAACAATTAACTATTTAGGCTATTAAATCATGCTATTATTGTTTTCCCTTCTCATTTACTCCAATGTTTGAGTCATGTAATTGCTTTGTCTAGAATTCTGCAAGTTGACATTTGCTTGTTTTCACGGAGATAATATAGTATAGTAGCAGTATAGATTAAAAACATCTATTATGAGGGAGACAAGCAGGTTACAAGAAGGACTTTTTGTATTTTTTTGTATTTTTGAACTTTAGAAGCACCCGTAAATGCTAGACGGATATGTTTCACCTCAACATTCCAAGCAACAGCGATAACATCTTCATGGAGTAAAGTAGGTAGCGGACATTCCCCCCAGAAAAGCTGTGCACTTATAGGATTGTGTATCTCCATGGAGACAAGCTGATTACACCGTTAGACCAAGTTACAGGTCAGATCAGTGGAAAGGAGTAATTTCGTACAACAAGATGAATTCTCGATATGTTTTTCGTTTCACAAACTCCACGCTTGTCAGGCTCCCGCTGCTGTTTCGGAGACTGGACCATCCGCAGATTAGCGCTGTGGTTTGGGCAGGAGGTAAAAGTGAAGCTCCCAGAAGAACCAAACCAAACATGGCAATGCCGACAAATGTACTGCAGAAGCGATTTGTGCATTTGTGGAAGTGAAAGATGTGAAAGTTTCTCTCTCCGCTGGGTCTGACCAAAGTTTTGGCGAGTTCTGCTTGTGCTACATGGAAAACAAGTCAAAACTATTTAGCGTTAGTCACATTTAAGAAGCAAGGCTAGAGAATACACAGATACATGCATACATACATACATACAAACATACAAACATATGTACGTACATACATACATACATACATGCATACATACATACACAAACACACACACACACATACATACAAGCATACATATATACATACATTCATACAAAGATACACTTACATACATCGGTACATACATGCATACACACATACATACATACATGCAAACATACAAACATATGTACGTACATACATACATACATACATACATACATACATACATACATACATACACACACACACACATACATACAAGCATACACATATACATACATTCATACAAAGATACACTTACATACATCGGTACATACAGGCATACATACATACATACATACATACACACACACACACACACATACAAGCATACATACATACATAGGTACATACATGCATACATACATACATACACACACACACACACACACACACATACATACATACATAGGTACATACATACATACATACACCCGTACATACATACATACATACATACATACATACATGCATACATACATACATACATACATACACACACACACACACACATACAAGCATACATACATACATAGGTACATACATGCATACATACATACATACACACACACACACACACACACATACATACATACATACAAAGATACACTTACATACATCGGTACATACATACATACACACACACACACACACACACATACAAGCATACATACATACATAGGTACATACATGCATACATACATACATACACCCGTACATACATACATACACACACACACGCGCACACACACACACACACACACACACATACATACACACACATAGGTACATACATACAAGCATACATATATACATACATTCATACAAAGATACACATACATACATAGGTACATACATGCATACATACATACATACACACACACATACATACATACACACATACATAGGTACATACATACATACATACATACATACACACATACATACACACATACATACACACACACATACACACATAGTTACAGACATACATATGTATATACATACAGACACATACATAAGTACATACATAAATACAAACATACAAGCATACGTACATGCATGCTTACATACAAATTTACATACATATATACATACAAACTTACAGTGCATTATGAAATTTCTAGTGTAATTGTTTACAAATGTGGTAACACAAGAAGTGTTTTTAAACTCCATACACCTTCACTTGAGTTATGTTGATCATTTCAACCCCAGAACTTCCTGTATCAACAGAAGGTAAAAGGAGCTGTTAAATTGAAAACTACCACTTCATAACATAAGGTGGAACAGACCATTTTGAGCTTTAGAAATGCAAACAGTCTAAAAATAAAGGGTTACTCAAATATGTGAATGAAACAAAACACAACTCCAGGCCTGTTTTTGAGAATATAAAAACATTATAACATGACTTAAAGCTTGGTATAATGTAGGACCTTTAACTTGTCCGGACATTTTCTTCATTAGTCAGTTTAATTGTTTTCACTGTGGTAATTCCCTCTGGTGTTAGTCGATGACGAGCTGTGCCAGATAAGTAAATTGAGCAGCGAGGCTATAAAATTATGTTTATGTCTAATTAGGCATAATTTTAAGTTCTAAAACATGACATTCCAAAGCAAAAGTAATAAACAACAGACAATAGAACCAACCATAAACAATAGAATTAATCCATATCGTTCTTTGTTGACACTGAAAACATGGATCTCATCACAAATGACAGATACTACATTTCTAATATTAATACTATTACTACTCAACTTTGTGACAGTAGCTTAGATGTTTTGTTTTTTGTTTTTGTTTTGTTTTTTGTTTTTTTTCACTGATCTATAGGTTGGTGGTTCGAATCCCGCTCTCGATATAAACATCATTGGTTGAGCAGTCAGATCCACTGGCGCTGTGATTCCAGTTCTCAAAGATGAATGCCGTCATTGTGTCCTTGGGCAAGACACTTAACCCCTCTGTGTGAATGTGTGTGTGAATGGGTGAGCGGTTCCTTGATGTAAAGCGCGTTGAGCCTTGAAGGTGGAAAAGCGCTATATCAAAATGTGGAAAATGTGACTTTTTTTTTTTTCCACTTCTTCCGATTTATCTGATTTCCTGTTTGTCTCCTCAGGGAAATTTCCCGTCTGCGCCCGACCCATCCTTCACGACCGCCGGGGGGACACCTGTCAGGACCAGTGCACCTGCCCGGGGACCCTTGTTTAGACATTGGAGGAAGAGGAGTCACTTATTGTAAATGTTCAGAGACACTTGGACTCTGCGCTGGGGTGTGCTTCGGTGAAAAGACTTCACGCTTTTGGAAAGATTATTGTTTGCGTTGCCTTTTCTGAAAATAAATTATATGAACTGAATAAAAGAGATGAAGATGACAAAAATACAATTAGTGAATGCTTAAAGGTCCTATATTACGCAAAATTGACTCTTGTGAGCTTTGAGTTTAAGTTATAATGCTGGTACCTCATTTAAAACAGCCCTGGAGTTGGGTTTTGTTTCATTCACACGGGCTGCAATTATCCAAATTATTCTATTGAATGTCTACTGAACACAGAGGAGCACTTCCTGTATTACCACATGACATCACAAAGTGGAACATGGTGTTTTCTGTTTGAGAGAAGAGCTCATCCTAAATCTGCAGGGTTTGTGTGTTAAACATGTGTGAATGAAACAAAAGGACAACTCTGGGTCTGTTTGTGAAGAGGAAACAACATTATAATATAGAATAGAAAATAGCGTCATATGGGTCCTTTAAGTTTCGTATCCTTTAAAACAAAATCTTACAACTAGTCACTATTTCCACTTTATTCCTACCTCCAATTATCTGTATCTGTCACTGTCAACCAATCACAGACTGCTAACTTTGCTTCTAAGGCAACGTTTACACATAGTCGGGTATGATGAGAAACGAATATTTCCCTCCCTCCGTTTTCCAAAATAACATCGTGCACACAGCATCGTTTTCAAAAGTTTTTTGTTTACATCAACCTGCATAAATACACCATCGAGCGCCGTCATAACTACACCAAACCTCTGGGCCGCACCTGGATTAGATTTAAACCTGTAGCATTTATTTTATTACAGTTGTAAATATTACTCAAAAATATCTTGAAAAACATGAATTATTGAGCGGGCTCGCCTCTCCACAGATCTCTTAAAGAAGCGGTAAAATTGCTGATCTCTGAACCTCATTCACCTGTGCCGATAGATATGATCCATCAGCTGTGTGCAAATGCAAACACATGAAAAGTGCAAACACAAGAAATGGGACTGCTGCTCTGAATGCTCCATCATCATCATCATCATCATCATCATCAGAGCAAAAGGGAAACACTGGTCACACTTTTGGCACATCAGCTCCTAAAATTTCATTTATCTCACTTTACATGAAAACGCCAAACCATAGTTTTTCAAAATCTCCACTCTAGCTGGAGTTTTTAGAAAGATTAATACATTTTTAATTATTTGATTGATTTATATAGCGCCTTTCAAGCCCAAAGTGTTTTACAGTCCATTATTCATTCACTCAACACTCAGTGGTGTTAAACTACTACTGTAGTCACAGCTGCCCTGGGGTAGACTGATGGAAACGATGCTGCCAATCTGCTCCATCGGCCCCTCCAACCACCACCATCACGCACACCACTTTCATACTAGGCAATGTGGGTGAAGTGTCTTGCCTAAGGACACAATGACAATTTTTGTCACTGGCGCCCCACTGTGGCACCTGGAATTCCCGCTGGTCTCCCATCCAAGTCCTAACCAGGCCCGGCTCTGCTTATGCGCACAAACGAAGGGAAATGTCTCAGTTTTTAAAAATACTCGTGTATGTGTAAACGGGCCCTTAAAGAACACATATTATGCTTTTTGTGGCTTCAGTTTTTCTTCTAAACATGCTTTTCATCGCCAAGACATTCATATTTCACATTTCCTAACAGGTTTTAAGCTCTGGAGCTCCCTCTGCTGTCAACAATGAGACTTAACATTTAGAAAGTAAACAAATGAAGTCCTAACACAACTTGACCAGAGAATGAGTCTGGTGATGTTTTTTTTTTTTTTTCTATGATGCAACAAACCGGCCAGTATGCAAACAGAGCAGTTTTGAGTGAAAAGAGAAAAAAACTTGGGTCATAGAGGGGTATTTTACTTCAGTGTAGGCCTGTCATGATAATACTGGGCATTGACTTATCGTTCAGTATATGAAACATGGAACAATATGTTTTTGGGTTCAATATTTATCATGTGTACTTTTTCTTTGCACTACTGGGAAATTTTTAGTTTTTTTTTTTTTTTGGTTATATGACAAAAGCTGTAAAAGGTTTAACTTTGACTCATGACAGATGCAAACTAAATCTGCTGTTTATTTATTACAGCTCATGATTTTGAACAATATTGTACATTTCGGATCGTTTTTGTGGTTTAAATCTGCTCTTGGGTTATTGTGTCAGAGGTAATATTATCGTTTATCGTGTATATTTACTTCAACTTCAAAATGTTGTTATTGTGACAGGCTTATTCTGTGGGTTATGAACTGCTATCACGTAATATTTAGATCCCGATGTTACCTTTTTATTGTTTAGAAAATGTTATATTCACCAAAAAACAATGCATTAACCTGTTAAATAAGTTTCAGACCCCTTCCTTTTGCTCTCTGTACTAAGTCACTCCTCCTTCAGAGCGCATTACATTACAATTGGAGTGCGCATCGCGTCGGTTTTGTGAATTGTTGTACAGTTTTGTATCGTGTTCTTGTGTATTTATGGAGAAATGTCGTGGCTTGTGGGCGGAGCATTGTACAGAATCTTACAGGAAGGTTCGAAAGGGACCCGGGAGCGATCCCTAAATTACTCAAACATGCATGGATGGAATCTAAAACCTCTTCAGGCATGTTTTCGATGAGGGACAAAGTAAATTTTGCGTAATACTCCCTCTTTAACGAAACAAAATACAACTCCAAAGGTTAAAAAAAAAGTACGTTTTGCATAATATGTGTTCTCACTTAAAATCGATGTTTAAATCCATTCTAATCTCCAACTTTCAAGGACTTCACCTACTCCCAATCTTCACCGCAGCAGCAGAACCTTGGCCCTCTTCAGCCTCGCCGTCTTCTCCTCTGGCCCACCAACAGTGTCTTGGAGATATCTCTGCTTTACAAACCGATCACGATACGTATTTGGGGGTTGATTGACTGAAATGGTGTCCTCTTAAACCAACGTCACAGTGGGAAAGAGTGTGACTTGCACAAGGACGCAACAGCAGCATCAACTAACCGTCGCCAGGAACCGGCAACCTTACAAAACAACCCTTTCAGGAGATAATATATTTTGTTTTGCTTCACTTCTTTGTAAAACTGGCACAATAAAAGATCATTTTCCAACCCAGGGGCCTTGTTACGACTTCTTTTGCAATTTGCATGTTTTTGAACCGAGAACAAAGACCTTCGCGAAACCGGCCTTAAAGCGAAATGGTTAAAATTTCAGTAACGTTGAAATTAGACCGCATTATGCCAAAGGGCGCTTTCGTTATCAGGAAAACACAAGATGTTCCGAAGGTGACGCACGCAGAGATGTAATTGAATAAACAGTGACTGGCCAGCGCACATGGTTTGGAAGGCATCGTTGAGTGCTTTTGTCTCTTCTCATAAAATCCAATAAAAAAGTAAAAAGTGACATAAACTAACGCTGTACTGTGATGCAAAGTGTAATTTAACTCTCAAAGCAAAACAGTGCAACAAATATGTCAGACGATCGCTGAAGAAAGTTTGAAAAAGTTGAGAATTTTAATTTCAAAAGTTCTGACAGTTTTAAGATAATAACTGTTTTCAACTTTTGATTTCAGTTTATTCATTTATTTTTCTTTCTAGGAACAATGCGGGGTATTTCCTTTGGTTCATTTTTCTCTCTAATTGGGGTGCAGTGCAGTGACAAAGCAAAAAGGACAAACAAAACATTCTAAGTAAGGTGGTTTTCACACTGTCACTAGTTAGGGCGACGGAAAAGAGCATTCGCGTCAAGAGGTGTGCACTCTGGAGCTGCTCCTCTCTCTCACTGGAGCAGAGCGGGTGTGCTGTGACCGTGGCTGACCTTGGGCAGACCTACGCAGTACCCTGTGTGGTAACAGTGCTTGGAATGAAGTAAAAAGTATTCAGTTATGTATATTTGTATGAATGGACACTGTAGAGCTGCTGTTTGACACGTTTGTCTGACAAGGAAATTTGGATTATCTTCTAAGAGACACGTGTCCTCCTGCCTCTGTCTGCGCAGGTGAGTCTGGGTCTGTCTGCAGGTGAGTCTGGGTCTGTCTGCACATGTGAGTCTGTATCTGTCTGCGAAGGTGAGTCTGGGTCTGTCTGTGCAGATGAGTCTGGGTCCATCTGCGCAGGTGAGTCTGGGTCTGTCTGCAGGTGAGTCTGGTTCTGTCTGCACATGTGAGTCTGTATCTGTCTGCAGATAAGTCTGGGTCTGTCTGCAGGTGAGTCTGAGTCTGTCTGCAGGTCTGAGTCTGGGTCTGGGTCTGTCTGTGCAGGTGAGTCCGGGTCTGTTACACAACAACCTTTTTCTTTGCAGTCACTCTCATGGTGTATTTAGCCATAGGTGAAATAAAAGTCACATATAACACCAGGGAAGTGAGCTTAGAGCATGTTTTCATAAGTTCTCTGAGCAGCTGACGGCCTCTCACGTATCTCATGTGTTTGGGGTGAATGATGAGCGGTGTGTATGAACAAGACCGACCCAAAAGTAAAGTTCATTCCAGAGGGCAAGCTAACGTGGCAAACCTACCTAACATTTTTAATTTGATTTTCTGTTATTTTTAGAAGTATATCATTAAAAAAGAATATTATGCATTATGACACGTCCACCTTGCCTCTGGCGATGACTTACGGCCTTTAAAACTGCAACGCTTCTATCCTGGGAATTTCAAATGGAGTATTCAGTCAGGTTCAGAGGTAAAAGACTTTTTACAGATGATTACTGCAACCGGCAAATGAAGTGAAATACAACTCCAAGTATGTTTTAATGAAAGAGCAATGCTTAACAGCTCGATAAAGTACATTTTACATAATATGTCTTTAAAGGGTCTATGCTACTTTATTTTCTGATCTATGTTGTAATGTTTCCTCATGAAAAAACAGACCTGGACTTGTGTTTTGTTTCATTCACAGA